GTCTCCAGAGGATTTACTGAATTTTGGGAATGAGTGTGCAGACTCTGACATTGCAGGCTGAGCTTTTGTTGTTTTCAGAGTGGTCCACCTTACACAATCAAAGTGCCTCATAGGCTATTCCTGAACACACTTGCTCCGCCTACCTCCCCCCTGGAAATTAAGGTTGTTGGGACTCACAGGCTCCCCTGAAGCCCCCAATCTGCTTTCCTTTAGAAATTCAGGGAAAACCATTCACTTCCATACAGGAAGAGTTTTAACTGGAGAGCAGCAGACAGATTTTTTAAATATATATTACCAATTGTTATGATTTTGCTGTATCTACGCAGGCTGCTTAGGGTCTGAAGAATCAGGCAGCAGTTTACACTTGTTTGCAATAATAAATAAAGGCCAATTTGCTACACTCTCAGATGTACTACAATTAATTCACAGGGTGGTATTACTCTCAAGTGCTTTGGGGGGGCGGTCTGAGAAATAAACAGTCTGGAAATGGACACACCTTTGATTTGATTTCATGCAAGGGGGCTCGTAGTAGTGGTTACACACCGGACTGCTTATTCTTTCGCTCTTTCGGAGCTAAGCCTGGGGGATGGCTAGCCCCATAGAGGCCTGCTATCTTCACCCCCAGATTTTTCATCCTCTTGGACTCTCCCTTTTTTAGTAATGTTTTTAAATTGATGTTTTATGTATTTATATAGATTTATGGTTTTAATGTTCTGTGTGAATCGCCCAGAGTTCGCCCGTTGGGGGGGGGAGATGGGCGGGGGAGAAATTTAATAAATAAATAAAATAAATAAATTTGCACCAGCAGATCCCGTTCGTGTTTCAAAAGGCAATCGCTCCTTCAAGAGGAACTCAGTTCCTGGAAGCGGGGACTTCAAGACCTTCTAAACTTTATCCTGCCAGGCCTTCGCGATACTCCGAAATCCGACAAAGTGTGCTTCTCCCGCGGGCGGGCGAGCGAGCAAGCGTTCAAACAGCAATGCAGATGGAGAAAATCAGCGGGAGCAACATTGCAACTGCTTCCGCCCTCCCCCCCTCCCCCTTTCGGACCAATCGGGGAGGAGGAGCTGCCCCGGACGCCAGCCAATCCGGGCGGGCGAGAAAGAGGCGGCGCCTAATTTGAAATCTTGCAGGAGAAGAAAGAGAGCTGGCTGAAGGCAGGGGTGGCGTAGCTAAGTAGCAGGCGGTGCAGGTGAGTTGCAGCGAAGGGAAGAAAGGCGAGACTGGCCTTTTCCCGTCCTATTAGCCCAATTATAATTGTGGTGATTAACCAAGTCCGTGTCGATGTTGCTTTTCTTAGTGGTTGTCCCGCATGGATGCGGGGTCCGCCTGCTTTTGTACTGCGCTCGCCTAGTGCTTCATGGCGAAGCTACCAATGCATGATGCCAGGAAGGGTGTGTGTGTGAGAGAGAGCGAGCTGAGGGATCCCAGAGCCCACCTGTTGCTGATTTGGGCCGAGAGAGAGTGGCGACCTGAGGCCACCAGCTGGATTCTGTGGCTAAGGGAAACTAGAAGCTGAGTTTCCAGTCCAGCCACTATTTCTCAACCTTGGTAACTTTAAGATGTGTGGACTTCAACTCCCAGAATTCCCCAGCCAGCATGGCTGGCTGGGGAATTCTGGGAGTTGAAGTCCACACAATCTTAAAGTTGCCAAGGTTGAGAAACACTGAGTCCAGCATTTAATGACAACACCGCACTGGTTCTCAAGTTAAATCCGCAATGCTTTTATTTAATTTATTTACACCATGCATTATTATCTCCTGCTTTGCATCTCTCACCTCTGCCATCATGAGCCTTATCAAACCCACCCTTTTACTGACCTGTGGCAACCTTGACTGTGTTTAAAGGAAGGAAACCATAGTCAAATAGCCTTTTCTGGAACCTTGAATCAATCAGGAAATACATTAGGCAAATAGCAGATTTCCCACAAATTCCCCACTGCATGTTAAGTGATACGGGGTTTGGGGGGGGCGGGGAGAGGGAGTAACCCTTGTACAGGTATACTCCAGTTGATAAGTATGATTATCATATTGACTTTGGACAACCTTGGGATCATAAAATCAGAAAGTTTTCAACCTGAAGAATTGAGAACTGGCATCTTTGATAAACTACTGCTTTTCTTAATGATACTTGTCTCAATGTTTGGCCCAAAGTACTCTCTGGTCAACAGAGAACAGGTGTCTGGCCTTTTCCAAGTGGCAGCTCTTCACATACGTAAGGGTGGTGACTTTCTTTTTTTAAGCGTCCTTTAATACAGAAAATTGGAAGTGGGATCCTAGCCTGCTGCAAAACAAATCCCAGCCCTTGAGCATTAGCTTTATTTCCAAGAATCTCCATCAAGAGCCAGTTTGGTGAAGGTGCTGGGCTAGAAACCAGGAGCCTTTGCATACTAGGTCTCCCTTAGGCATGAAAGCTGCTGGGTGACTTTGGGCTAGTCCCTCTCTCTCAGGCCAACCCACTTCACAGGGTTGTTGTTCTGTGGAAAATCGGAGGAGGAAGGAATATTAGGTATGTTTGCTGCCTTGAAATGACGTGTGTGTATGTGTGTATAAATATAAATATAAATAACTAAAATGTGAGATAAAAATCTAATAATAATAATAAACCCTAGAGTCTTTTTAGGAAAAATAAATCGTGGGTGGTTGTTGAGGTAGTAGAGAACACCTTGGAGGGCTAGAGGGGATAGTGGAGAACAATCTCAATAATTTCTTTCTGCTTAATGAGTGACTGCTGACTGACCACAGTCTTCAAGACCACTCTTTTGCAAGCATGCCTGTGACATGTTAAATGTGGCTCCTATCCAGAAAGGTAGACAAGCTGATGCTAGTCAAAATTTTATGACATTTCTTTGTAGGGGATTCCCTAGCATCTATTCGATAACGTTAATGACAGTAGCAACAAAAAGTACATTTCTCCCTCATCTCCTCCCCCATGTTGTGAACTTGTGGACTAGAAACTTGAGTAGGCTTTTTTCTTTTAAGGCTTTTGAAGAATCCAGCACTGGGGAAAGATGGCATCTGTGTTCCAGAGTGTGGGATCACGCATCGGCTGGCGGAGCCATCAGGTTCTGTCTGACTTTGAGGAGAGTCCTGTGCCAGATCGATTCAGGAAGAAGACTTCTCTCAACATGAATAGTGTGCGGATGTCTCTCCAGAAGAGAATGCCTTTAAAAGAAGTAGAGATGAATTTCAACGAGAATCCAACGTGGGAGAGCCTGGAGGCTAAGGAGAAAAACCCAAACCTCCGGGTGCTTACAAGAACAGCCAAAAATGTATTTGGAACAATGTCACAGGTACAGGCAAGATATGCAGCGATTCATGAGAAAGTTGTCCCAGCCACTGTAATAAATTAAGCAGGTACATGCCTATGGTCTAGAAAGCTGATTGGACTTTGTTCTGAAATTCTCAAACATTATTAACGTTCAAATGTTTTTGCCCATCAAGGAATCTTTTGATGGGAAACTGTTTTGTTTAGTGTATTGTCGAAGGCTTTCACGGCCGGCATACGATGACGGGTGTGGGTCTTCCGGGCTGTGTGGCCGTGTTCTGGAAGTTTTGTTTCCTAACGTTTCGCCAGCACCTGTGACTGGCATCTTCAGAGTGCAGGAGCACAGACAGTCAACGAACTCAGCTCAGGTCAACGAACTCAGCTCAGGTCAACGAACTCAGCTCAGGTCAACGAACTCAGCTCAGGTCAACGAACTCAGCTCAGGTCAACGAACTCAGCTCAGGTCAACGAACTCAGCTCAGGTCAACGAACTCAGCTCAGGTCAACGAACTCAGCTCAGGTCAACGAACTCAGCTCAGGTCAACGAACTCAGCTCAGGTCAACGAACTCAGCTCAGGTCAACGAACTCAGCTCAGGTCAACGAACTCAGCTCAGGTCAACGAACTCAGCTCAGGTCAACGAACTCAGCTCAGGTCAACGAACTCAGCTCAGGTCAACGAACTCAGCTCAGGTCAACGAACTCAGCTCAGCGAAACGTTAGGAAACAAAACTTCCAGAACACGGCCACACAGCCTGGAAGACCCACACCAGTCACTGTTTTGTTTTGTTTTTTTAAAAAAAACCAAAATAAAGGTACAATTGGTAGGGAGCTTTGAATGGGAAGGCATTTTGGCTTTCTGCATTAAAGGTAGCAGCTGGTACAGATACCCTTCCTATCCCTTTCCTCCAGGCCAAGGGTGTCCACAGGGAGTGGGTCAAAAAAGTCAAGATGGCAGCCATAATCATGCAACTGAAGCCCTGCCCTGGGGAGTAAGCCCCAGACTTACTCCCCTGTAAGTGTGCATAGAATGATAATTTAGTCTTTTTACATAGTATGATTTTTTTTAGCTAATTTAATGTGGATATTTATATTTTTTTTACTGCTTTTGATGTTTGATTTTAATTGTGAGCTGCCCAGAGTCACCCTCTGGGGGAGAGAGGGGGCATATAAATTAAATAAATAAATTTATTTCAATAACAGTAGAAAGGGGGATGGTTTTTATGACTCTTGAATACGTTTCACACATTTTTGAAAACCTTTCAGGTTGCCTTTTCCCTGCCTATGAGATCAGGGAGCTGCTAGGATGCAATCTGGGGAACAGCCCCATTATCTCCCAGTGTCAGTAAAAACTGCCTCTGCGTTTCAGAAAATGCAAAGGAGCTGCCGAGGTCCCACTCGTGCTCTGGCCGCTTCTGTAGCCAAGGGCCCCAGAGCCAAGAACAGAGGCTCCACTAAAACTCCAAACTTCTCTCCCCGGACCCCTCGTCGAAACAATAAGAAGCTGGCCTCCACCTCGACACCAACATCCAGCACTAGGATTGTGTCCCCTCCCAGCAAGGGTCCTGGGTCCTGTCAGCGTACACACCTCCTGCCTCTCCGCAGATCCATGAGGGCTGCAGCCTTGAAAAGCCCCTACGGTTCTCCAGTTTCTCTTGCTGCAAGAAGGCAAGTAGGATGTCTCACTCTGCTGTAATGTATTTGCCAATGTGCACGTGTGTATTTAATTTTTTTTTAAAAAAAGAAAGAAAAGTAGGATGTTTGCTAAGCTAAGAGGTAAAATGAGTTGAACTTCACTCCTGATGCCTGCAAGGATAGAACTTGGCAACAGGGCAGACGTGGGTTGCCACTTCCTCCTCCTGAGGTGTCTTTTGATTCCTCAAGGCAGCCTATAACTCGGGGGTTTTCTGAGCTTAGACAAGGTTGGCTAGACGCTGTCATCTTGTATGACTTCTGCCATGCTAGCGATGGGAGAGAAGAGGAGGGTGTCTTCCCAGTTTGCTACTAGAAAGCTCCAGGTCCAGGGCGATCACATTTCTGCTACTTTTGCTTCTCAGTGTAGATATTCCAAAATACGCTACTTTGGTTCTGTTTAGCCACAAAGGTTCATCTCACCCTCGGAAACATGGCTTCTACTTTATTGTTTATACCCCCTTTTCCCACCCTCAGGCACTCAAGCCTGCTGACAACAACATGCAAAAGAATCCATTCCAGTTTGAAACCCAGTTTTAAAATATAAATAAGTCACAGCTAGGATCCTTTTCAAAGTAGCTGAATCCCTCTTGAAACCCAAAGGATCCCAACAGCTGTGCCTGTATTTTGGGGTAATACAGTCCACAAAGGAATTGTGGGAATACGTTTGGCACTGTTGTTCTGTTTGGAAGAGAGGAGGGATGAACTGGAGACCGAGAAATGCTATCCTCTGGTGGCCCGATTCACTCTTCACCTTCGCCTTTCTCTCTTGTCCACGGCAGGCAGCTTGATTGTGATTTGGAGCTGGTCTCCACGGGCATTCGCCAACTGAAGCGCCTCTCTCGGGCTTTCAACGACATCATCGTTCAAGAAGAGAGGTGAGTTCTAGGAACGGTCTTATGGTCTCTTCTCCAGTTCTCATCCTGCTGTCCAGAATTGGTGCCTGCTCTTAAGCAGGCAGTTGCTAGGGCTTCAGATAACCTTTGGTGTGGATAAGAGCTTATGCTAGAGCAGTGTTTCTCGACCTTGGCCACTTTCAGACGTGTGGACTTCAATTCCCAGAATTCCCCAGCTAGCATGGGTTGAAGTCCACACGTCTGAAAGTGGCCAAGGTCGAGAAACACTGCTCTAGATAATCCACTTCCTCCAGCAGTAGCTGAGGAATCCAGCAGCAAAGGCAGAGAAGACACTGTGCAGCAAGGAGGATGGTTCACCAGCAGTAAACCTCACTGCTCCATAGAACCCAGCTTCAACCTGTGCGCCTCACATCTGATTTTCTGCAGAGCAGAGCGTCAGAGCTTCTGATTTTGCACTGGGAATGTGTTTTATGTTTCAATCTTGCTGGGGTTAATCAGGGTTGTAGAAATCAATGCATTGGACCCATAAGCCTTTTCATAAATATCCCCAAGTAGGACTTCCTTAGTCTACTTCTGAATATTGGTGGAAAAGAATGGGCCATCGTTAAGGTTGCTGTATCTGGGCTGCAAAAATCTGGGTGACCCCCCAGATGTGAGCATGGAAGACACTCATTCTTTGCTGGCATTGACTGCTTTTCCAGATTTTTTAGGCTAGGTATGACAGCCTTCCTTATCAGGTATGTATTTCTTGAAGCACTCCAATTTTCTGTCAAGAATACCTACTTCTTTTGGGTATCACAACTTTGCTTGGAAAGCATCTATAATATATAATTATCTCAGTTGTATACTATCCTGAGGCTGCCATTTAGAAAAGCTGTTAAATGTAATAAAAAGCTAGTTCAGTAAACGCAATTCAGCCACTCTATTGCAAAAATAATTTTTTGCACTCTACTGCAAAAGCACCTTAAAACTGTACTAATTTCTTTCAGTCTTACAAATGGAAATATTTACAGGCATTTGTTCTTTGAGGGGTGAAAAGCCCTCAGATTCAATGGGCCTTTTTGTGTGTGTATACATATGCATAAGAAATATCTATTGGACACATACAGTACATGATTTTTATGATCTCTGTGGAATATTACAAGCTTTATGGCTGAACTAGATGTTTTGAGTTGGGTTTTTATTTTAGTTGCTTCTGCAGAAGAGCAGTTGCACTCCAAATACCTTCCTAATTATTTATATTTTATTTATTAAAATGCTTTTATGGATATACCATTTTCATTTTGGCCTCCGGCAAAAGCTTGGCATACAGGAGAGAATCTTTTTCTGCAGATGATCTGGTGAAAGTAAATTTTGCTTACCGCCACCCTTCAAGCTTCCTCGTGCAGAAAGTGATAATGTTTCCAAACAGCTGCTTACTCCAGAACCCAGGATAAAAGCCAATTGTACTCCTCTTACTCTCTGCGCAACTAGATTTAATATCATTCACAGATCGCATTCAGCTTGCAGATCAATCCAAAATGTGTCCTCCTTTGATCCTACAAAGCACTCATCAGCAACTGGCAATTTCCAGACTAAATCTGCCTCTCTCATGAACCTGTTTTGATTCCAGTTGCTGAGTCTCCAGTGAAAGAGGAGTATAAGAGGAGTATGGTTGGAGGAGTGAATCTTGGTAGGAAATGTATTCAGCAGAAAGAATGTGAGGCAGTGTCTCCTGGCCCTGTGTTTTCGAGAGGGCAGCTAATTGCTAGCAGGGACCTAACTCTGTCAGCTCAGTGGTCCCTCTGAATTAGTCTGAATGTCATTATCATTTCAGCTTGTAAAGCCTTTATTCCTAATGTTCTTCCCATCTACTAGTGATATGACAGTTTCTCTGATTTGTAACTGAAGATAAAAACCATCAAGGTAAAACTTGTCTTGTTTTTTTTGTCTGAACTGCTTGGAGTTCATTAACATACACACAGATTGCCTGCATGGAACAAACCAGCTCTTTAACAGGTTAATATGCATGCAAAATTTTTCTTATCTCTCATTTTCTGTGATACAACCACTACAGTATAAAGAAAATGTGCGTGTTGACCAGATTCCCTTGGATTGTGCTGAAAGGCATCATTGGGTTTTACTCGTTTGGGGATGCCAGTTGAATTCTTTTGGGGTTGCGTTGCCCACAAGTAGCAGGAGAACATGGGAGACGCCTGGTCCACTTTTCCCAGGTGTTCCGACTTCTTACTGTTGGCACTTTTCTAGGGACTTGGGCAAAGAGAGGGAAATAAAGTCTTTTCCATCTCCCGTCCCTTGACTGTCATAACTGAACATGTTCTTGATTCAACCTGGACTTTTTCCATATGAACAGGGAGTCCTGAAATTTGGGCAAGCTTCTCTGACGTTAGTGATGCTTACAGGGCAGCCAACCCCAACCTGGTGCCCTCTAGATCAGTGTTTCTCAACCTTGGCAACTTGAAGACATGTGGACTTCAACCCCAGAATTCCCCAGCCAGCCACTGATCTAGATACTGTATGTGAACTTTAGCTTACATAATTCTCAGTCAATGTAGCTGGAAATTACCTCTTGGGAGTACCAGGTTGGAGAAGACCATCATAGGTTATGTTCTTACATCATGTTAAACCATTTTTGGTTTGATCTTAGTTTGCTATAGGGGCTCTACCTCCCTGACGTTATTTGCAAGAATATTAAATTGTGGAGAAATTTCAGAATTCTTGCCTAGGGTCTTAATGAGATTTCAGTGCATTTTTAAAATATGTATACTTTAAAATACTTATTTAGTTTTGGACTTCATAGACACCTTCTAGAGGTTTTGTGGATGTCCTGGTGATGTTAACAACACTGGGTTTGTTAATTAAACTGTCACTGGCTGGATTTGCACAATATACAGCTAAAAGAAAATCATACTAGATAATGGATTAACATTATGGGCGATCCAAATATTGAATGAACCTTCAATTAACTTGACTGTTAGAATGCAGCTTGAAAACTGGGATCTAAGCAAACAGTTGTTTTTTTCTGACACCCCTGTTTTATCTACTAACTCCACTGTTCACTCAGTGACTTGACTAACTCAAATTGCAGAGCATGATATCAATGGTAGTTCTGTGCCACGGTGTAACACTCTCCTCTGTATGTTGTTTTTCTAAATGTTATAATGTCTACCTTGAGTGGAGATAACTTAAGCTAAATAACATGGCTGAACTTACAAGGGACGGGATAGACCTGGGTATCTGATGCTCAAAACCTGCAACCAGAAATATATAGCCAGTTCAGATCAGTAAATGAATCTTGATTCATGCCATTTCTGGATTTCCTAGTAATTTGCACTGGTAAGAGCAGGATAAAGCTATCTTTTAACAAGCTCTGGGCAATTTTAATAAATTACTGAGTTAATAACTTGAGTAGACTTAGATACTTGTTCTAGATGGGGAGCATTCTTCACGAGAGGGGCCTCTCAACATTTGTTTGTTGTTATTCGTCACCTCACACGGAACACATGCTGTGACATCATAGCAGCTAACCCAATGGCAGTGGGGGAGAGGTGGGATGGGACTAACTCACAAGAAATGACTGAAGTTTAAACCTGTTATCATTCAGGTACTTTTTATAGAAAGGATGAGGCCTGTCTATATTTCATTGTTCAACAGAGGTAATTTACTGATGAGATCCAAACTCAAATTTCTAGAAATATTAGAATTTGCAGAAAAACACAATCCCCTCATACTAATTCTAGAGCAGTGTTTTTCAAACTGGGCAACTTAGAGATGTGTGGACTTCAGCTCCCAGAATTCCCCCCTGCTGGCTGGGGAATTCTGGAAGTTGAAATCCACCCCCCCCCCGCTTAAAGTTGTCAAGGTTGAGAAACACTTCTCTACAGCATTATCCTTATTGATTTGCTTTTCCAATACCTTTTCACCAAATGTCCCTAGTGCTGAAATATGATGTATGTACAAATGATTCCTCATCACTCTTACACAGATTTCCCTGAACTGGCACCTTCCAGATGTGTTAAAATACAACACTCATTATGTCCCATACACACAGCAAAGAATATCCTCGTTCTATAGTTTCCTCCAGGCTGTCAAAGCTTACACTGTAAACTCTGTGGGGCAATGACCAGTCTGCCATGGGGTTTTTTGGGGGAAGGAGAGGCAATGAATGTCCTTGGTTTCCCTTTCGACCAGCAGTTCTCAAAGGTAACAATTGCTTCTTCTTGTTTGCAGAGATCAAGCAATCCTAAACTATTATGAAATTATGGCACAGAACATCCGGGCAGTGCAATTGCAGTCTGGAAGCCTGGGTCAATGTCTTCGGAGGCACGCAGGGAGAGTGCGGTGGACATTCAACACCTGGGCTGATAATAATTTCAAATAGTATTAATCTGGAAGCGTTTGCAGGATGGACGTTTGCATCTGTTTTTAATAAGCTTTTAAAATCTACACTGAATCAACTCTACTTCAAATAAGCTTGTGTCGTAAAATGCTAACTTATAAGAGACCTCACTTGTCCTTCTTATAGACTTTATGTATGCAAGTTTCTATGCTGAAATTAACCCTATTTATAACCTTAAGCCAAACTGCAGTTGCATTTGGGGCCTCATTCATTGTTACAGAGTCTTAGCAGCTTTTTAATAACCTTTAATCTATGCGTTCTTTCAGCATTTTATTCTCATTATGCTGTGTTGAATGAGTTGTTGGAACTGTGTGCCCTGCAAGAGCTGCAAGGAAAAGTACAACATGTAGTATGGAATTCAGCTTTCTCAGAACATTTGATTTAATTAAAAAAATACAACATGAAGGCTCAAGTTCTTACCGCCAAAAATATGTCTAGAGCAGTGTTTCTCCACCTTGGAAAGATGTGTGGACTTCAACTCCCAGAATTCCCCAGCCAGCATGGTCTAGAGGATTATTGATAACATACTTAATATCTCGGGGTTTCTTCAGAAACCCCCAGATCCAAGATCAACTCCCCACACGAGTTCTGTGGCCAGTTCTGGGCACCAGATTTTAAGAAGCCATCAGAGAAAAAGGAACAGATTAGGGTTGACTAGGCCTTAAGAGGAACATCAGGATACCAAGCCAAGAAAAGAGAACAATATGATGGCCCTTTTTAATATCTGAAAGAAAGTCACACAGAAGGAACAGATAATTTTGTTCCTTCCTCCCCTGTGGTAGCTGAGGAAAATCCCTATCCTGAAGTTACTCTGCATTAGACATAAATCACCCCTTGGTACAAATAAACCAAGGCAGGTTCATTGGTATCAGTAATAATCAGTAATAAATCAAGGGCAGGGGGATGAAAGACTTAGTGTTTCTCTTGTTCTGTGGTTCTGCATTGTGCATCTAAAAAAAAAGCTGTACTAAATGCAAAGACATATTGAATGCCACTTCTACATTTCTCCAGATTAAAAAAAGTTATTTGGATTGAGCTAGGCCAGGTGTACAGAAATCTGTTTTTATTTTTTCCAGTGGAGGGCTGCATTTTCTCAGGAGGAGACTAACTTTGTAGGCTGCACTGGAGTGTGAATTTTTCTAGTAGGATGTTGGGGGATTGAACTGATGGGGGGGGGGGGTGTTGCATGTCAAAAAAGTCAAGTTGGCCTGAACTGCATGATCAAAGCTGTATCTTTATATGGGCGCTTCCGTGAGCCTACCATCTTAACTCTTTTGACTGCCCCCTGTAAAAATCCCTGATTAACTGCTTTGAGAATTAAATGAAGAGCCGCAAATTTGCCACTGAGTTATGTCTTTTCCTACTTTTCAGCTGAATGTCTTTTTTTACATGATTAATTACTAGTTAGTCAAGCTTTATAAATGAAGTACACCGTGATCCATGTAATGGACATCCTACGTAAGCCTTATGTCTTCTATTTTCAGCCCTATTTCCTGATGTATCTTGATGATTCATGCCCCATTAAAGTTAACCATTTTCTCAAGAGCCCATCATTATTATTAGAAAAGAAACAGGTTTGTATACAGTACTGAAGAAAATATAAGCTTTTCTTATATCCAGACAATCACCGGAAGTAAAGATTAATTTGAAGGCACTAAAAAAACGCAAAAAGATGTGGCACAATTTTGGAATTGAGCTTTCCTCGTGGAGGGTTCATCTTTCAGCTGCTTGGCTACAGGCAGATTGATTATTTGCGGTATCTGTAGATCACCTTTTAGCAGAAACTTTTTCCAACAATTTAAAATGCAAACCAAAAGGGTTCTGTTCAAAACAGCAGAGGAACCCAGTAGGTAAACAAGTAAAAAAAAAAAGCTAATGACATCCTAGCTAATCCCTGAATGCACCACCGAATACAAGTTCCATATTTAAATTTTGTTTTAATCTTATTTTCCTTCTAAAAAATACTATTCACGCTATACCACCAGCTATCAAGAAACTATACAATAAAACAACTTAAATACATTTAAAACAAAAAATCAGAATAATTGGTTGAAAACAGTGGTGACTAAGTATTTCACTGGGCCGTATTACAGCACTAAAATTAAAATCAAACATCAAGTATAGGAGAATACAGACATATTTAAAGGAAAAGCCTCCTCTAAATGAAGCCTGGTACCTAGATATGTCTGTAGTTTTCTTGGTAATAACATTGTTTGCCTTCTTTGGGGACCCCCCCCCCCAACCTAATATTTCTTAGTTATCTATTACTGAAGTACTACAGTCAAGTTGGACTTTGGTTACCTTTATGAGATCAGCCAAGGTGAGATAAGTGTTGCCACTCAGCTCAGCTAAAAGGCATTTGCCTACCTCTGAAAGGATAACAGATGGTGCTAGGCAACTTCTTTGGGGAGGCTATTTTAAACTTGTGGACCTACTACTCTTACTACAGAGTCACTTTTGGGTGTTGTGGTTAAAGACACCAGGCTAGACACCAGGAGGCTGAGTTCTCTGTGATCTGGAGTACTCTCGGCCTTGGGCAGAAGAAAATAGCAAGCCGCTTCTGAAAATGTTGCTGAAAAAACTTCAGGGACTAGTCCAGGCAGTTGCCAGGAGTCAGAACTGAGTTGAAGGGGGGGGGGGGGAAAGAAAGAGGGGGGCTATCAGAATGCCATCTCTATATATCTCACAGACCTATACATACATACATACATACATACATACATACATACATACATATGTTTGGGTCCAGCCAATTGACCCTAATTACCAGGTTCAGGACTTGGTGCAAGGTGAACAGAACACCAAGACGAAAATCAGACTTTTTATCCACTTTATTTTAGAGCTCTAAACAAACTGGAGACTCCCAGCGAAAGGAGGGAGTCCTGATTACACATTTTACATAGCTTATATACTTTTTCTTCACAGGATCCATGTGACAGTTTAAACAAAGAAA